CAATGAGCCCAATGAGTTAAACCCAATTTCATTACACCAAGCACATGGACTTTCTACATGTGAACCAATACAACTTTAAATTAAAAAAGGAATAGATTGAAACACCAAAATCATTCAGTAGCCATATTCCATTAAAGAAATTTAAACCAGATTTTTATTAATGGTTTTAAGAAGAGAAATTGAGCCAAGTTGTCTACATACACATGTTGATTCTCATAAAAACCAAGCTGATTAAAACTTGGTGTGTTTGAAATATTGTGAAAAATTACTATGTTTTGCACAATTTGACTTTTAAAGCTGCAAAATTATTATTATGGGTATTGATCTTATTTCTTACTTTCTTGAATGCATAAGCAAAAAAGAACATCCATGTGGAACTAACTGTATAATATGTATGACATGATCCCAACTGTCAACAACTGTAAACTGTGTCATGCACATGTGTCATACTATATGTGTGTGTGTGTGAGAGAGAGAGAGAGTGAGAGAGAAAGAGAGATAGAGAGAGTGTGAGAAAATGAATGAATGGTTGTATTTTGATCTAGTTTTAGTTTTGCGAAGCTTTATCTCAAAACTTCTATTTTGGTGTTTTTTCTAAATCACAAGTAAGAAAACAAACATTAAAAACAAAAATCTGGTTTATCTTCCATGTATTGCAAAAAAAATGTATAGATAATACAAAAGCATATATTCAGATTGAGATGCATTCTTTTTACCATTACAACATCACACTTATTTGAACATGGATTCATTTGGGCTTGGTTCAGAAAATTTCACAATTCCTCTATGCAACTGGCAAGGAAACTGCCAATAGCACACCACAACCAGTCTGTTCAGTGAAACCAACATTTCCATGAGATGTCAGACTACATCTTCAGAGTTTGGGCAATGAGACCTCATTTATCTTGCATCTTACTCATTCTCAACAACAACTTGCCAAAATTTCCATTCTGCGGAACTCCATGCATGACAGAAGATTTCAACTACAGAAACACTTAATATTGGAAGCAGAATTCCTTCCTTCAATCACACTTTAAGCGATGCAGGTCAGCAGCCAGTGAAAGACATATATAGAGGAGGCACTGCAGGTTATAGTACATAGACTCATGCTTTGGCTCTAAGTCACACAGATTCCTGTGTCACTGCTAAGCTTTGGGATAGAGAGAGGGTAATAGCTCTGCAATGGATATGATGTCCAGCCTCAACCTTGGCTCCAGCACTCAATTGAAGTTGCTTAGCTTCCACAGTTTCACTAGGCAATGAGTTCACTGCCACCATCTTCATCTTCTCCATCCTCTTGCTCTCTTGGCTTTAGAACCCTGGCAATGAATGGACCCAACTCATCAAGTGCACCCATTGATTGTTGATCACCTGGAGCCTTGGGAGAGCCAAAGGCAACAATAGAAATGGGGGTTGGATTCCAAGAACTAGGTTGGCCAACAAACTCTGGACCAACATGCCCTTCATCAAGTTCGTAAAGGAAATTTGTGTTTTTGGTATGAGTGCTGGATTCCAACATCTAAAGTATTTAACAATGGAAGAGAGGATTTGAGGACCCACTTTGGATGGTGGGAAGATTGTGGAAGGGGGGGGGGGGTACCCAAGAAGCAATGTTGGGGTGGACGTGTATCTTGATCAACAAACAAATAATTGTTGTCTTTGCTGATAGTTAGAACTTTTGTGAAGGCAATGAAAACATGAATATTACATGGAGTTATTGTGGTGATGTAGCTTGGATTCACATGGATGAGTCTTCCTAGTCCTGTTAATTATACGCATGTTAAAAGCAATCAAAGTACTAGAGGATGAGTAAGTTTGAATTGGGCTAAAACATTTGCTGAGGATGGATGTGATTTTATTGATTTGATGGTCAGGTACAACTACAAGATTTGTATAACTATCATATCTACAGGTTCTTGCAATTCTGAGTTGTAAAACAATAATAATAACAACAATAATGTCAAAAGACCTTAGTGAACTTTGAAGACATATGCCTGAAATGAGAACCTTGCTTTAACATTCATGATTTCTGATAGTAGTTCCAGCTGATTGTACACATTGTATACATACATGCATTGAAGTTTGGACATAGTGTAAGTGTCACAACTGTTGCTGTCCTCTCATTTTTGGTACTCATCTCAAATTACCCTGCTAAAGTGAAGTTTGGAGGTTATGAAAGCATTCACTATGTTGGCCATTCTTTCATTAGTTATAGGTCCTACTACATATTTTCTACATCAAGAGAAAAAAAAAAAAAAAAAGTGAAGATGGAATGAATGACACATTATAGGTTACACCAAGAAGGATATACATGTAGATATTAATAAAGAAACTGAAAATAAGGACCTAAGTAGTGGTAAGAAATCCCAGTGAATTTCATATTCCCTTTTTCAGAGTTGGAACTCTGTTGATAAGGATTTTACTCTGTCCTGGTTCCCACCACCCATCATTGCCTCTGCCACAATAATAGGGTTTGTTCTCTGTTCTTGTCTGGAGCTCTTTGGTTGAGAGCCACAAAGGAAGGAGGAATGCCTTTGGATTGGGTTGAAGCCCCCTGCTTTGTGAGTTGAACATTAAAGAGACCCTATCCTATAATATTGGCCCTCTTCATGCCTCATTTAGACCCAGAAATAATTTGAAAAGTATAGGGAACATGCAATAGGACATGTTGAATATTTGCCATCATATCTATAATGTGGTATGTTCACCTTTCGAACTTGTGGACTTTGTAACCTTCAAGAAGTCTTGTACCCTCATTGTAGTTTTGTGCTCCCTTTTGGTGCTCTATAAGACTTACCCCCATGTATATAAAATAATGAATAACCCCTTTGAATGCCAATACTGGGGATTGAAATAATACAATAGTTCACAGTCAACTTGAAATTCACAACTGCTAGAATCTGTCACTTGACAGTGGTCTACACTAAAAAAAAACATGCACAGTATGGACAGTACTGTTTTTATTGATATATTTATTTGTTTATATCACCATCATTGGTGTGAGGATCAAATCAAGGAGCTATTTCAATAATAAACAAGTGTATTGGAGAAGTTTCTCATGGATGAGCTATTGGCAAGAAATAGAGATCACATTGATGAAACTTGCAATGGATGATGATGATAATGTGGGAGTACCTTAAATCATCAACTTAAGGTTTTTCAGCTATCTTGGGGGTTTTGTTTTGAAAAATAAAATAAAATAAAAATTGGTGTAGAAATAAGGATTTGATGTGCTCCAAAAGAAGAAAAAATATATAAATTGCCTCAATGGTTTAATTGAAATAAATTAACAAATCAGCTTCTGCATTTGACCCTTGAACCAACACATAGACTTGACCAAAACCATCCATAAAAACACATTAAACCACCACCTCCATCACAATAAACCACCAATTTCATCCTTGTAAAGTTTGCCAATCATTGGTGGGCTTGGAATGGATTTAGAATCTTTCTACAGGAAGAACTATTGTTTTTGGATATGTGCAAAGACATTTTAGAGTAAGGTCAACTGAATGGTTGAGGGGCATGACACAGTTAAAGATATTTCTTTGTTAATGTGGCTTCCTCATCAACCAATTATCATGACAAATTGCAAAAGAAGACAACAACTTCTTGATGGCATTTGTGATGCCACCACTGCTGCTGGTTGTACTTGAGATATCCTTCATCCTTGGGTTAGGTGGGTATACTTCATATAAACTCTAGAAACTCTGTTCATACTGATGATGTTATTAATGCCTACAAGCTGGAGTGCATTGCACTGTGTCCGCCCTTGTGATGAATAGTTTGTCAAAAGTACTGCTGCTGCATCCATCCTCAGATCTTTGAGATTGAGGTTTGTGTCCTTATGTTGGAAGTAAGAATTCACTCTAAATTTGGCGCAGAAGTCAAAGGTCTTTGACAAGGTTGAATTATCACAGCTTTTGGTTGAGAGGATTTTGGATTGGGAAGTTTGCTCACATATTATGTTCAAAATGGGTCAAAGAAAATCTTTAGCTAAAACATTTATATAAATTTGGTTTTTGGGCCAAATTTTGTGAAAACACTTGGAATCCTCCTGATTTCTATTTCTCTACATGGGGTGTTTGTTTACCACTTTTACACCTGCTAGAAGTATATTGAAATGCTTAAGATATCAGAAATGGGTTGTCCACCTTAACTACCTCAACCAATGTTTCATTGGGCTAATGCACTGGCAGTGGTAACAAAAATCCTTTGTGTGTATGTCATAGAAAATAATTCTGAGTGAATAGTAGTCAATTTGTGTCGAAAAAGTGTGTGAAATAGTTTAGAAATGAAGAAGGGTGGAAAAAGCAAAAGGTTGGATGGCTTTTTGAAAGTAGAGATCGAGGTTGAGGTTCTCGGAGAAGAGGGAGCCGTGAGGAGAGCGATGGCACCAGTCCGAAGCAGGCTGCGTCGGCGTCAACAATCATGCGGTATCATGGAAGAGTGCAGTTGGTTATCGTCCTCGCCAGCTTTTGAGCGATGTAAGCCAAACTTTGCAGCCTCAGTCACATTGAGCAGGGGAGTGACGGACCTGATTATCGGGTAAGATTCGTGTGCTCATCTCTCCAACTATTTCTGGAAATTCTGAGCATCTGATGATTCTTCCAGAGATATTATTTAATTGCCAGTACATGATTTGTTTGTCCCGCTGAGTGAGTGAGTGAGTGAGGGGGTGAGTGCGTTCGTCGTTTGCTTCTGGCGAGTGGCAGGAGGGGAGCAACACTTAACCAAAGCAAAGTAGTTAGATGTTGCCGTTTTGATGACCTCTTCCTCCTGCGCTTCTTAGCCTCTGCCACGTCCGGCAAGCACACGCACATTGGAGCCACACTGACATAATTGTCGCAGCGGCGTCTACATCTTTCCTTTTCAGATCCATGCAGTACTCGGGCAGTACTCCTACGGCACCAGTCTAAAAGATTTTTTACCCGCCTCTGGCAGAGGCTGTCGTACGGGACACAGATCTGTCTATAATACACGGAGCATTCAATGTGAGGTTCTATGCATCCGTGTGAGCGTGAAAGTTGGCCTAGCCACTAGATTGTGAAAAACTTGTGTAGATCTTGACGTGGTTAGCATTCTCGAAGTGGTGCGGCCTGTACTTCGATGTTCGCAGACGCTGTTAATAATTGAGTGCAGCTGGCGGGAAGTGTTCGTTCCTAGATGGCCTCATTGCTTGTGTTCACTTCACTTTGGGTTACGTGCTAGGAAATCAATGAGCCTCTTGGCTTCACGTAGGTTTCTCCCGAATCGCTAGTGGACGGATAGCGCACTACGAATGCGACCACCGTCGAAATTAGAAATCTTCTGCACAAGACTAAGAAACAAGGAACAGATCTCTTCACTAGATGCGCGACATTGGTTCCAGCATTTCAATGCAAACTACGAAACTTGATGTTGTCATTTACATCACGCTGAGCACAAGACTTAAAGATTAGAAATGATAAACTTAGAATGAATAAAAAGAAGTTGTCTCTTGGATAGCTCTCAAGAGTCTGATCGTAAGTAGACCTGTTCGAGGAACAATGACTAGGAGAAGATAGGACATGTTGTCTATTCAGGTATGATTGGCCTCTACTCTTCAAGAAAAAGTATCGCAAAAACAATTGATGGATTTACTAGACGTAGGAAGTTGCATTCCGTTTTTTTTTTTGCTGCTTTGTTTTGTTTTTAGATCCCCCCCCCCCCCCCCCCCTACCTTCAGGTAATATCTCCGAAAGGTGCGGCAAAATTGACTATGGTGAGCGCACGAGGAGATCATTGTACATGACAAGGTCGTTGGGATGTAGCTAATAGCTATGTAAGATGTGAAGCATTTCGTTTGATCACTTCTGTGGTGAATGACCTTCTGTATGCTCCAAATAGCTGTGAACATATATTCATGAAGTGTTTTGATGTAGAGGAATCTGCTATCTTAGTGGGGTCATCTATTTTATCAAAGAATGTACCAAAAAATTGATTTAGCTCAACCAAATCTTTCAATATCGTCGCTGTATTATTTGTGATAGATTTCTCTAAGTCAATCGTCAAAAACAGAGACTGATCATTGAAAAACTGCGTCGTTCGCCTACAACTGAAAATTACAACTTAGATTTAGAATCAAGCGCTGAAACACACATCGTAGTTTTCTGAAAAAGGGTGGAAACATCAGTTGTGTCTATCCAATTTTAAAATAAATTTAACGAACAAATGTCTTTCCTTGCGAAGATGCTAGCTTGGGAAGTAGTGCGTCCCTCCCTGTCTAATGAGTTCATGTTCAGCAAACGATTTAGAAATCATTTCGAGGATTGTTCACGGATACGTAAGTTCTTCCCAAGATCTTTCAACATGTGCTGATATTTCTACATATGCTTCAATTTGTGCCTGCAGGAATCACATGGAGAATCGTCTGTTCTGAGATTCCCAGGGCTTTCAAGTTAGGAATCAATTACTCTTGCCAGGTACTCAATTGCCGCAAAAATGTTTTCTTCTTTTGATAGTTCAGTTGATGGAGGAAGGACACGGAGGCGGTATTTCTATGTACGATCCCGAAATCAGCAATAGTTAGAGCTTACGTGCATCATAAAATTTGCGAGCATAATCGACAGGTATGCAGTTATAAGTCTATTAAGCACATAAGAATTCATCGAAGCCAATGTTTGACTGCCATTGGGATAAGTCTGCTGATGAAAATGCTTGCCATGTTGCAATTTACAGAATTTATGAGAGAAGAACTCAATGCAGGACATTCCGTATGATGTGTCACATGTTCCAATCGACTACGATAATTCTGTCGGTGTATGCTTCTGAAATCCTTTCGACACTTTTCCCTTCCAAATAGGATAATCGTATGTTAACAAGGCATCACCTTTAGATTTTTCTGATTTATGTTCCTTTAAGAGCATGTTGTCCTTGAACTATCCCAACTTTGCCTGAGAGAAGTGGTTTCGGAGCGCAGATCAATGAAGCAAGCGATAAAGATGAGAGGCGGGATCAAAGAGAACTGCGGGCTGCGCTGGAGAGGGATGTGAGTAATTTTTTTAGTAAAATTGAGAACTCGGTTTTGATTTAGCATTCGAGACTTGTTCTGTACATCAATTTTTGGCTCTAAATGGGTTGGGTGTGAATGAACAGGTTGCCCAGCTACAGAAGAAGCTACTTATTGAGATAAACATGCGCAATGCTCTAAGTCGTGGACTAAGCAGACCTTTGGGCGCTCTCCCTCGAATATATGCCAGCTTACCTTTAGAGGCATGTTCGCCATCCCTATAACCAGAGTGCACTCTGTTAGATTATTTATAAGTCTTTGTGATTAGTAGTCGATTTTGAAGGCGCTATGGGAGCTGGATATCGGGCTGACAAGTCTTTGATATTCTCTTCTGATGAGTGATCGAGATTAAAAGATAAGGGCAAAGGGAATATATAGGATTGTAGATTCTGAATTCGTGAAAGCATATATTGGTCTATATTGCGGGTAGGCTTCCAACAGAATTTCGTTATGCGTGAGACATAACGCCGATCGTGTTGATACCTGCAGATTAGGGAGTTGTTGCTAGAGGTGGCGGTTCTTGAAGAAGAAATCATTTCCCTGGAGAAGCAGGTCATTTACCTCGGAAGAGAAGTTGAAATTCAAGCCATGCCTGCAATGGACGATGAAACGATCTGTTACGAGAAGGATCCAGATCAAACTGTAACTTTAGATAAAGCAGAGATCTTAGTGTCCCCAGCAGTATCTCCTAAAGACTGTTCTAGGTTGAACCCAAAGCCTTCATTGTCTCCCAGCAAGTCCTTCAATCAGAAGAGCAGTCTCTCAAAACCTTCATTCTCTGTCGGAAAGTCGGCAGAAATTAAAAGCAGCGCAGTGAAAACATCAATCCCTTCTAGAAACTCCTCAGACAATAGCAGTTCTATCAAATCCTTAACCTCTACCAAGGACTCCATAGAACCAAAACGCATTGTTACTGTAGCTCCTCAAAAACCTCAAATCCATAAGAGTGCCTCTATTCCAAAGGTATCCCTCAAGACCAGTAGAGACTTCAAAAGCAGAAGGCTATCTTTTACGAAAATAGAACCTCACGAGACCACCGCACCTGCGACACATTCAGTTGGCCCTTTCATCCCGCTGCAACTAAGTCTTATAGAGAACGAAGAGAACGCCCTGGCTGCATCACCTGCTCCTGTTAGCCCTTCTGATGTTGGTAAAACCGTTACAAAACCTCCAAGGATCAAGACTGACAATTTAAAGCCGCCGGTGATAGGAAGCGCTCGGGCCAAGTTAAAAAATCCACAAAATAGCAATGTCGCACCCGTGACTCGCCCTCTGAAGCCAGCCAGCACTCCTAGACTGTCAGGTCAAGAAAGGGGTCCATTGAACTCCTCACGCATTCTTCGTCATCCAGTCACTCTTGCTTCTAGCTTGAACAGGAAGAAATCTTCAACAGCCACTTTAGGACAGAGTGTGCATGCTCATGAAACATCCTCAGCACCTGTCAACGGTGAATCAATTCTCCGAAGCGGTCATCAAAAACCTGCTGATGCAAAGGATAGTATGTACAATATCAACAATGAAGAAATTCCTTCACATGACGAAGTTTATGGAGATTACGAACCTATCGTCCTTTCTCCAAACCATGCGAAGGTATAGCCACTTTCTTTTCTCTTGGCACTTATTCAGTGATCATTCTGAACTGTATCATAATAAGGATGCATTTACCAGTTATACAACAACGAAGGAAATGTGACAAAATTCTACAGATCAGGAACTTCATTTGCTAAGCTTGATGTGGCTTATTCTTTGGTGCTTGTTGACTCCTTGATTCTATCTTAACCCATGGGGCAGGTAAATCAACAAAATTGTTCACCGGAAAGAGTCTCAAAAAGCTTGGATCCAATACCAGACTCGGTATTTTTGTCGGAAGAAGTGGTGAAGTTTCTTGCATCCATCTACGGAAATCTGCAGGAGAAGCAAGCCACCTCAACATCCGACACTGGTTCTTCACAAGCCTCGACGTCAACAACTCTATCCAGTGCAAGTCCTGATGATTATAACATGAATCGTGGCACTAACATCAACTTCAAGTTAGACGCCTGTCATGTTGAAAGTTTTAGATCCAAAAGAAGCACCAGCATCAGATATGTGCAAGGTTGTCATTCTGGTGAAGTTGCGGAACCACCGGATCCACATACCTGTTTGAACATGGAAAATATCAGCACTCGGGCAATTTTTCATCAAAGGCTGATGTAAGATCTCAATAGTTGTGTTTCTTTTGCATCTGAATCGTGATCAAGCCCTAAACATATGAAAAATAAAGTAAAATAATATAAAACTTGTTAATGAACGAGGACGTTCGTATTCTTGCAGGAGCTAGTAATGAGGAGCAATACAGATCTAGAAGAGGAAATGACTGCATTTGGTAGATGCTGAGTTTTCTCGAACACATAGGCCGTTCACTTTCGGATACGTTAGAAAAAACCAGAAGTGGTGGAATCCTAATGCTACCTTCATCATCATTTAGACAACTCTCATCTCGCATCTTGAACCATGCCATGCACCCGACGAAGAAACAATCGCCATGGAGATATACCAATTTCTTATTTTTCATGCATGTGCGTCAACAATGTGCAGTAGGTAGAATGATAGTGATAATAATATCGTTAGAAATTTGTGGTTGATATAGAAGTTGCAGGCATCGACATTAGCTACATGGCGAGAGCAAAGAGGCATAGAGTTCACTCTTTAGTGGTATGACTACAGTCAGCGAATCAACACAGAGGGTGAATCAAGGCATTTGTACAAGTATGGAGAGAGGACCATTGCTTCCAACTGCACTGGCGGTGAGTGTGTTAAAATTATGTATTCTCCATTTCGTGGTTATGAGCTGAGACTCGTCACAATGCTTAATCCCACTCACGACCTCTTCGAAGGTCATTTTCTTTTCACCACCGAACTATCGCAATTTGCAAGAGACGTTACCTGTAGATATTACAATATTTTCTGCTTCCTTTTCAATAGGGAACTATCACCTGCACTATAAGAATTCGTTTGAGCACAGAGACTGATTACATGTCTCAGACTTAAGTAATAAAGGCTGATACTTTTGAAGCACCTAGTGCGCCATTTGCATGAATAACCATGATATTAACTAACAATGAATTAATAAACTATTTTTTTCTTTTTTTTATTATTTATTTTTATTTTTAAGCCTACTCTTAAAACCTGAGTATCATGAAAAAATTTATAAAGGATGATTATGCAAGGCTAGATATCTTCTTTGTTTCACACAAATAAATTTATTATGATGTTTGTAAAAAGGAGATGATCATGTGATGATAAGAGTAGTTTAGCTTCAATGATTAAAGAATTCTTAAACATCAAATAACCATTAATGATTTATTATTATTTTGTAGTAATTACTTTCAGCAATCTTTACTTACTAGTAAGTTTTGTGAATGTAGTTTAGGTCATAGAATTATATGTCAAAGTAGTATATATCTATATATATATGTTAAAAATATAATCCTATTTTTATTACTACATAAATTTAGATATAATTTTTATACATTCCAACCTTAATATCTATTATTTAATCTTAAAGTATTTTAGAATCTTTCCATAGACACATATTCATCTAAATTAAAGAAGTTAAATAGATATATGTAGAAGTAAGTAAATTTGATAATATCTTATAGAACAACTTTTTAGAAGCTTTATAGATGTAGATTTGACTTTATATGTACTTATGGGTGATTGGTGGATTAAAAATTTGGTCAACAAGATGGCCAAATGTCACACATATAGAAAGCTTCTCTTATGAGTTAAACATGTATCCTATTAGTTAGACATGTGACAAAAGTCTTATAGAATGTTGCCTCATAGCTATTAGTTAGATAGTTTATATAGATGCAATAGTGAAACCTTCTTCATTCTTGAAAATACCTTTTTTTTTATTCTTAGTTTAGTTTAAAGAGTCTCTAGTTTTTTAGTCTTTAACAAAAGTCATTCTAATTACTTCTTCAATATTCATATATATATATATATATATATATATATATATTATTTCATTTTAATATATTTTACTTATTTATTTATATTCTTTGAGATCTTATTCTTGAAAGTTTGACAAAAATGTTAATGTATTATTTTTAATTTATCTTAGAAGTAAGTGAATTATTCCACTTTTTTTTGTTTTATTTTAAATAGATCAAAGAAAAAATTACAAATGTAATATTTAGTAGAAGTAAGAATAGATTTGAAACTATTGCAAATCTTTATAAGCTTGTCAAAAGTTTTAAGGTAAGAATTTCATATATTACTATTTTCAATCATAAATATACTATTTTTATACATATGAAAGAAGTAAACAATAAGGTCCAATGTCTACATGAAAAAATTGTGCAATTGAAAGAAGCAAGTAAATCAACCTTGCAATAAAATCTAAAAAGTCTTATTACAAATATGAGAGCAACAAGGATAAGTATGTTGGAGAAGTTTAATTTAAAAAGATCAAAATTTCAAAGATTTCTATAAAAAATTAAATTATATATATAAAAAAAATCTTTCTAATATCTTAATGGATTTTCTTAAATTAGATTTATTGGCATACTCTTATTTGAAAGTGTTCTATTTTAATTTGCACTTTTGACAGAAAAAGATTATGATTCTTCTATAATCTAAATTCATTTTTGGAAGTGTTTAGGGCCACATTTAGAAAAAAAAATTGTGAAAGAGTAATAAAGACAAAATTTTGTTTTTACAAAAAAGATCATAATTAATAACCATATATATTGTTGAATTCCAAAACCTTGTTTGTGATGTAATTTGGAATGATAAAGCCCTTATCAATCAATTTTGATATAAGTTAAAAGATAATATAAAAGACTTATTATTAATAATAGTAAAAGCAACCTTATTAAAATATTTTATTGCTTAAGCCATTGCATGTAATATTTGACTTTTTAAAAGATTCCAAGAATAAAGATTTGGATAGAAAAGCACAAGTCAAGTTATAAAAATAATTTCTATATTTTTAATATATTATTTATCAAAGCCTAAATCTATAAAAAATGATACAATATGTTTTAAATCTCTCATTTAGTAAGAAAAGACTTATATTGTTAAAAAGAATTATACTTATGTTGTAGAAAATCTAATCATAATACTCAATATTATCCAAAAAAATAACATAATTACAAAATATAAAGCATGGTTGCTAAAAAAGAGAATGTGCCAAGAAAACATTTGTCTAGCTATAGTTGAAATCTTCTACAATATCTAATAAAGATTCTATTTTTTCATAAAATCCTTTATTTTTTTTAATAATAGATATTTTTTAGAACTAAAAAACTACAGAAATTCTACCTTGTTAGATTCAAGGATTTCAATTTATTTTATAAATAAATATTTTTTCAAAAATTAGGAAATATTTTTGATCAAAAAAACTAAATTTGTACATATAGAAGTCATAAATGGTCATTTTTTGTCTTTAAAAGATATTATCCATAAAATATTCATATAGATATATCAACAAATGGTCATAATAGATTAATAATATTAAATATTAATAGATTTTTTTCTAATCAAATTATTTTAGGTTTATTATGATTAAAAAATTATAAACTTTAAATACATTACATATATTATAATTTTAAATTTATTTAATAATATATCCTATATTTTTGTTACTAAGGTAGAAAGTCATAAGTCTAGTATAATTAAACTTGTATTAATAGGTATAAGAGCTTTCATTCATACTACAAAAGAATGATCATCTTTTGATATTTATGTCACATCCATTTTACATAGTACAAAGACTTTAAGTAATATTTCAAGTTAGTATGAAGATTATTAAAATATAAATATATATATATATATATATATATATATATATATATATGAATACTCTTTAAAAATATTATCTTTATGATTGTTCAATTAACCTTTAAAAAAACATTCAACCATTATTTAGACCAATCCATAGTTTATTATAAAAAAAATTGACTACATTTAAGGAATACATTGATGAGAATTTGGCTAAAAACTTTATACATCATTTGAAATCTCCAATATAAGCTTCCATCTTGTTTGTAAAAAAAAGGATAAATTACTACGGATATACATAGATTATCAAAGTCTCAACAAAATCATCATTAAGAATATGTATCTTCTACATTTTAGAGCATGAAAATTATATTTGTTGTGTCTTATAAAAACTCACAAATATACAATTATAAATCAAATAAAGAAGAGTATATTCTATACAACTCAAGTTGATTTTGTAAAAATATATCATTTCAAATGATAATTTTATGATGCATCCTAAAATATTTTAGACTATCATTGATTGGAAGATTTTAAAAACAATAAGAGATATCTAGTATTTTTGAAATTTATAATTTATTATTAAATATTTATCAGGAAAGTTTTGTAAATTATATTTTTATTTATATATTTGACTTGTAAGGAAAAATTGAGTAGAATAAAGAAGCTAAACCATTATTTGAAGCTTTAAAAATAATTATTATTTTCATATCAATTTGAAATAGATTCAACTTTTATAAGATATTTTTTATCAAAAAAAATATATTGGACTTTATTTTGAGTATAGTATTGCCAAAAATGGGTGCAAATGAAAAAATTTATCTATAAGTTTAATAGATACATATATTTATTCTTATATTTATCTAGATAATATAAATAATTAGAATTAGATAAATGTAGATTAATTTAATAATATCTTATAAAGAAGCTTCTTAAATTTTTTAGATTTCTTAGAAGCTTCTTAGAAGCTTTATAGATGCAATTTCACCTTTATACATGTGTAAAGGTCATTGATAGGTTGAACACTTGGTCGATAAATTAGCCATATGTTGTACATATTAATAACTTATGATACAAGCTAATTATGTGGCACATGTATAAAAAACTTATCTTACAAGTTAAGACACTTATCTTGTAAATTGGACATATTTTTATGTTATGTATCATCTTATTTGAGAATGCACCAAGTACCTGATTGTGGAAGGTGAAGTCCTATGTTGCAATTATCTAAAAAATCCTAATGGGCATCAACCATTAAAAAAAAAAAAAAAAAAAAAAAAAAAAATCAATGCAAAAAGATTTAAAGTCAATGCAAAATACTGAAAAAAACTCTTTTTAATTACCTCAAGAAAATATAAATTATCATTTTTTTTATTGTTTTTTTTTTATTATTATTTTTTTGTTTTGTTTTGTTTTTTTTTTTGGAGCTTCCAATTTTTTCTTCAAACTTTAATCCTAAGTAATGACCTTTAGTTAGCTGTAATTCCTAATTTAATTGTCCAATTGATATAAAATTTTGCATATTTGTGAAATAACATGTCTTCTATATGTTCAAAATTTTTTAATCTAATCCAACTTACAAATTATGAGAAAAATGCAAAAGAACCACATTGGTATCTCTTAGCTGCCAATTTAAAGGTTGATGATGAAGTTTGAGCAATAATTTCTCTATCTCCAATCATTAACTTTAGCTCCAAATTAGAATGTGGCTTGATATATTAGTCTACTAAAACCATGCTAAATTTCTCTTTGTTCCAATATGCAAATCTTTAAATATTGTAAAATTCCTTCCTAACCTTAAATGCCAACTTTTGATATCTTCTTGTACTAAAATCTAAATAACTTTCATTTTTATGATTAAAATAATATAAAAGTTTATATGAAATTAGTACACTCATTCAAGTATACATTAAAAAAATTTGAAATATAGATGTTATATGCATTTGACCAACTAGCCAATAGTACTAGCTTTAATTTTATTGCATAAATTCAAAATCACCAATACAAACCTTGATTTCACACAATGATTGTAAAGTCATCTCAAAACCTATAAAAATAAGCTTGAAGCTAGCTCTCCAATTTAATCCTTCAATCTCTAAAAATCTCCTCTATTTTGCCCTAAGTAGCTATTTTACTAGTTAGAGGTTTGATTTCAAACTTGATCAACAAATAGTCATCCTCCAAGTATCAATTCAACCTTTTGTAAGAATTTTGGAGCAAAATTCTATTCTTATATTTATTTTATAATTAATTATATTAAATATTTATCTAATTTATTTAATTTTTAT